GTACTGTTAAGCAAATTTGGCGGTTGAAAAATGATACCCGGTTGTTGATGCTGTTGCTGTTGCTGTTGTTGCTGTTGCTGAAATTGCTGTGGCTGTTGATGCTGTTGTTGTTGTTGCTGTTGCTGAGCAGGGGAACGCCCGAAGATGTAAAAGGGATGTTGCTGCTGCTGTGACTGCGACTGATGCGCAAAAGGTGAGAAAGCAAACGAACCAGTACTTGGAGCTGTGGCTCCACGCATGGATGCTTACTGAGAAACCACGAGTACTTAACCAAGGATGCTTACTGAGAAACTCAGCACTCGGGCATGGATGCTTACTGAGAAACTCGATACTGCTAACTACACCAAAAACAGAACTTGCAGGAATGCAAAACTTCATTTATCACAACAGCTTTAGAGGTTCCATGTCGGGCAGTTGAGGTTGCTTCTAAGGTTCCATGTCCGACTGTTGAGGTTGCTTCTGAGGTTCCATGTTGGGCTGGTGAGGTTGCTTCTGAGGTTCCATGTCGGGCAGTTGAGGTTGCGTCGGAGGTTCTATGTCAGGCTGTTCAGGATGCTTCTGAGGTTCCATGTCGGCAGTTGAGGATGCTTGTGAGGTTCCATGTCGGGCAGTTGAGGTTGCTTCTGAGGTTCCATGTCAGACTGTTGAGGTTGCTTCTAAGGTTCCATGTCGGGCTGTTGAGGATGCTTCTGAGGTTCCATGTTGGGCTGATGAGTTGCTTCTGAGGTTCCATGTTGGGCTGTTGAGGTTGCTTCTGAGGTTCCATGTTGGGCTGTTGAGGCTTGAAATCTTGAGCTCTTGGCCTTGGATCTGCAAGATAAATTCTTCTTGAGTTGATGGGGGCTTGCTGCACACACCTGCGACACGATGGACACTTCACACTCGACAAAATAGAAAAAGCACATGCGACACACAAACGACGACTTGACATGGGAGTTGTAAAAACTCGCTAATGTCTCGACCGACACAAACCACATTGTGATACACCATTCAAACACACACACAAGCACTAGATAGCAATGACATAGACTCACAATTCATTCCATGCCATGCATGCACACACACAAACAAGGACGACAAGCCGAGTGCAAGCCATAGGGTTGCACCAACAAACTCCCCCTCGGATTGTTGGCCTTAGAATCTGCTCCCCTTAGTTCAGAGCCATCCCAGCAAGCTTGCAACACTTCCAATGCTGCTGCTCAACCAGCCTCTTGGTCATCATATCAGCAGGCTGCGCCGTCGTCTTCACGTAGTGCAACTCCACTTTACCCGCGGTTACCATGCTCCTCACCCAATCCCACTTCTCCTTCATGTGCTTGGTAAGGCCATGAAGAATGGGGTTCTTAGCCAATGCAATAGCACCCTGGCTATCACAGTAGAGTGGGGTAGGTCCTTGCTGCTCCTCCCCCAATTCAGCTAGCAAACGCCGCTGCCACACAACCTCTCTTATGGCACGGAAGAGTGCCATGTACTCGGACTCCACCGAGCTCAATGCTTGGTCCACTTGTTTCTTGCTCTCCCAAGCTGTTGGGCCTTCACCAACACAGCAGTTGAAGCCTCCCACACTTGTCATGTCCTCTGGTTCTGATGCCCAAGATGCATCAGAGAAGGCGGTGAGAAAGAGCCTCCCGGGTTCGACTTCATCCGCACCCTTTTGACGCCCTTGTGCCAGCGCGGAGTATTGCAGTCCAACAGTTGCTGTTTGGCCAAGGTACTTGGCCACCCTCTCTCCAGCTGCTACCTGCTCTTCATTAGGGCATTGGATAGCCCTAGCCAGCTGCCCAGTAGCAAAGCCTGCATCCGGCCTTGTGTGAACGGCCGCATACATGAGGCTGCCCACCAAGGAGTGAAAACGCCGCCTCTCCTCTTCACCAACACTTTCCTCCGCTGGTCCTTTCACACAATTGAACCCTGAGGGAAGAGGAGTAGCCACATGACCTTCACTCTTCCCAAAGTTTGCAGCCAAGGCTTCCAAGTACTTCTTTTGATGCACTCGCATCCACCGCTCCTCCACATCTCGCTCAATTTGAAGCCCAAGGTAGTAGTTGACGTCACCAAGGGTCTTGCATTAAACTTGTCTTGAAGCTTGAGCATCACCTCCTTCACGAGGTCAGAGGATGGTGAGAATATGAGGATGTCATCCACATAAAACACCATGAAACTCCTCTGCTCCCCTCGCCAAGCATGAACAACGATTGATCGGGCCGTTGAGGGAGGTGAAGCCGATCACCTCCAAGACTTCCCGCAGCTTGATGCACCATTGCCTAGGGGCTTGCTTGAGGCCATAGAGTGCTTTATTCAGCTTCCACACTCTGCCACTCCCATCATTGTACCACTCTGGCTGTTCCATGTAGGTCTCTTCCTCCAAACGCCGTTGAGGAAAGCCGTTACTATATCCATTTGCTTCACCACCCATCCTTTGATGGCCGCGCGGCAAGAGGTTCGAAGGTTGTACCCTTCACACAGGGGCATACACTTCATTGTAGTCCTTCTCTTGCTGCTGATACCCTTGGCTACAAGTCTGCTCTGTAGCGCTCAATGTTGCGTCGCGTCGGTCTTGCGCTTGAAGATTCACTTGACGAGATCGCCTTCCGCCCCGGAGGTAGATTCACCAAGTCAAACGTGCCGTTCTCGATGATGCTCCCCATTTCTTCATCTGAGGCCTTCTTCCACTCCTTCCCATTGGGGCCCTCCCAAGCCTCCTTGGGATTTGTAGGCTCCCCCGGCATCTCCACCGGAGAGAAGAAGGCAAAGGCGCACTCCTCGCTTTCATCTTCCGCATCATCGCCTAGCATGAGAGCCGAACCCGTCAAGGTTGAGTTGGCTGGTCCTCCAAGCCGGTCATAGCTCAACCTATTGGGGGGCTGCGTCCTTCTTCTCCCCCTTTCTTCCTCCTCTGCTGCAGGGACTTGAATGCTCTCATGGCGTTGCGGTAAATCTGGTCGGTTCCCACGAGCACTTGTAGCACGAGGCGGAAGTGACGGTGCACGCTCATCATCTTGCTGCACCTCCTCCTCCTCCTCATCCCCATTCATTTGAGGAGATTGCCTTGTGATAGTGCTGCAGCAACTCAGCTCCAAGGGCAGCTCCACATGCTCCAAGCCGGTACTCTTCACCTCTCCAAGCCGCACACCAATCTTCGCTTGGTTCTCCGCCTTCCACTCCTTGTACGGTAAGTTCTCCATGAACTTGCAATCGCTACTCACCAAGAACTTCTTGGTAAATGGGTCCCAAAGAAGCCATCCCTTGCTGTTTTGAGCCATGCCCAGGTGCACGGCCCATGTTGCCTTGGCATCAAGCTTGTTGTGCCGAAGTTTCTTAAGCACAAGTGCATGCACATGCACGTGAACACCCGAAGCATATCCACCTTCGGCTTCCTTCCAATCCACTCCCACATAGGGCACCCATTTGTCTTCTCCCACGTGATTCAAGGCTCTGTTCTTGGCCACACAAGCATGCCGCACCGCATCCGGCCAAAAGTAATTGGGTAGACCGGCTTCAATGAGAAGTCCCCAAGCCGTCTCCGTGAGTGTCCGATTCACACGCTCGGCGATGCCGTTCATTGCAGGAGAGTAGGGCATGGTAAGAGAGTGCCTTATGCCTTGCTTCTTCAACCAAGTTGAGAAATCCTTGCTCAGGAACTCTCCCCCACGGTCAGTGCGAATCGCCTTCACAAGTCGGTCTTGTTGCCGCTCCACCATCGGCAACCAATCGGTCTTCACCGTTTCAGCTACGTCACTCTTCTTGGGCAGCACATACACCCAGGTCATGTGAGTGTAGACGTCCACAATGGTGAGTAAGTACTCTGCTCTAGCAGCTCCAAGCTTCAAGGGGCCCACCACATCCATCACCACCTCATCAAGTGGTGCCTTCGCCGTTGTCTCCGAGCTATGGAACGGGTAGCGGGTGAACTTGGCTTGCATGCATGTTGGGCAGCCAAGCACCTCATTGGGCTCCCCCTTGACACGTATCCCACTGACCATCTCTTGCTTAACTATCTGCTGCAAAATGGGCAATGCCACATGCCCCATTCGCCGATGCAAGGTCAGCCAATCACACTCTCCCGTAGCGGAAGTCGGGTTGGAGAAAGCGGCACTTGCAATTGTGCCCCACAAGCTCTCTCCTTTCTCCTTCGCTGCTGCTGCTTTGCTGATCTTAGGCTTCTCCTCCTCATTTCCACCACATTTGGCTGCTGCACCACTCTTCTTGGGTTCACACGCCTTGCTGGTCTCTCCAAGGTTGCACTCGTTCGAGTCACTCTTGGTGTCACTTTGCTTTCCGTGATCACCGCCACCAACCGCTTCACTCTTGGTGCTGACGCTTGCTGCCACTTGCCTCCCCTTAGGCATGGGGACCACTGGGATTTGCCACATCTCATTGTAGATGTCCCTGTCCTCATGAAGGTCCCAAAGCTTCTGCTCACCAAGCCTCGCGGTATATGTTTTGGAACCCTTGGAAGATGTGTCCATGCCTGCCTTTTGCAAACGCGAACGGAAATCAGGTTGGCTGCAAGGTTGGGCACCAAAAGCACGTTCTCGAGGCCCACCATCTTCCCATCAGCACCCTTGAACATGGCCTTGCCCATGCCTTTCACCTCTGCTCGCTGCCCTGAAAAGGTGCTCCTTTGATGTTGTCTACCTTTGGGAGCTAGGCGATCCTAACGCCGACCATCCATCCATCTTTTCGTTCTTGCTATCTATCGAAGACTCATTATTCTAACAATGTGGCTCGTGGTATCAGTGCGTGCTACCATACCGTAATCACCCGGATAGACGCCCCTCCGTAGGATTAGTCCCATGGGCTCTAACACGTGCGTTGGAACTTATAGGCATTACTCGATTATAGCCCCCCCTTAATTTTCAGAAGCGGAACTAACGCCCTCTGACACCTCGCGCCAGCACGATTCATAACAGAAATGAGAGTTTCCAGCTTGGCACCACGTTGACTGGTCTCCAACGCGATTGCTTGAATCCTCGCCAAAAATTATTCCCATTGCACACAACAAACCAGGAGCTACACGTCGATGTCAAACTTTTTATCTGCATATAATCCTTTTTAAACGCGCATGGGATTATATTTATTATTCAATCAAACGCCCCCCCACGTTTTCAAACCAGTCTAGTAAACGCCCCTAGGGGTGTCTATCCGGGTGATTACGGTATCAGCCAATGCACTTTACACGGAAGTAGGAGTAGCACTGCTGGTCCCAATAGGGCACAGAGCCAACACACGAGGCCAACTGAAACCCCGCTCGCTCCACCGGCTCATCCACACCCATTCTCTCCGCAGTGGCTGCTTCACCCACAACGCAAGACACCAGCAACAATGTCAGCCAAGCCAACACAGTTACGCACATGAAAGTAGGAGCAGCACTGTCGGTGCCAATCAAGACTAGAGACAACGCATGAGGCCAGCTGAAACCCCTCATCCACGCCCATTCTCTTGTCAGTGGCTGCCTGCCCACGGGCAAAGACACCAGCAGCTGCCACACTGAGAGGGGAGGAGTGCAGGCGATGGTTCTTGTCGTGGCAAGGTGGTTAACCAACACAGTTGCGCACATGGAAGTAGGAGCAGCACTGTCGGTCCCAGTCAGGCACAGAGCCAACGCACGACGCCAGCTGAAACCCCGCTCGCTCTATCTGCTCATCCACTCCTTTCCTCTCTGCCGTGGCTGCCTCACTAACGGGGAAAGACACCAGCAGCTGACAGATGGAGAGAGGGAGGGGTGCGGGCGATGCTGCTGCTGACGATGATGTTGATGATGTTGAAGATCCTTTCCCTGCAGCCGTTGCTACTGCGGAGGACGCATCATGCAAAGCTGCAGCCCAGGATGCGATGGCAGCAGGGCCCAGGTGCTCTGCATCCACCTGCATGCATGAGTCACGAGGGCACAGGGGTGTAAGTGCGGCAAGGTGAGTTCTGGGATTGCTGGGGATTGTAAGGGAGACAACACGGGCACACCGTAGGAGTTTCTCAATGGGAATCGTGCAAGGCTGCAGCCCAGGCTGCGATGGCAGCAGGGCCCAGATGCTCTGCACTCTTATCAACATGGCGATTCATGATTAATGCAACATTTATGCATCACTTTTGCATCATCTTTGCATGATCTATGCAACTTTCATGCATCAATTATGCATACGTTAAACAGCATTTCCTGCTACCCCCCTCCCCCTATCCATGTCTGCAAACCTCCTCTCCACCATCTCCCCTCTCCCTATACATCATGAACCCATACATCATGACCCCATACATCATGACCCCATACAGCATGACCCCATACATCATGACCCCATACATCATGACCCCATACATCATGACCTCATACAGCATGACCCCATACATCATGACCCCATACAGCATGACCCCATAAAGCATGACCCCACACAGCATGACCCCACACAGCATGACCGCACACAGCATGACCCCATACAGCATGACCCCATACAGCATGACCCCATACAGCATGACCCCATACAGCATGACCCTATCCAGCACGACCCCATACAGCATGACCCCATACAGCATGACCCAATACAGCATGACCCCATACAGCATGACCGCATACAGCATGACCCCATACAGCATGACCCCATACAGCATGACCCCATACATCATGACCCCATACAGCATGACCCCATACAGCATGATGACCCCATACAGCATGACCCCATACAGCATAACCCCATACAGCATGACCCCATACAGCATGACCCCATACATCATGACCCCATACAGCATGACCCCATACAGCATGATGACCCCATACAGCATGACCCCATACAGCATAACCCCATACAGCATGACCCCACACAGCATGACCCCATACAGCATGACCCCATACAGCATGACCCCACACAGCATGACCCCATACAGCATGACCCCATACAGCATGACCCATACAGCATGACCCCATACAGCATGACCCCATACAGCATGACCCCATACAGCATGACCCCATACAGCATGACCCCATACAGCATGACCCACACAGCATGACCCATACAGCATGACCCATACAGCATGACCCCATACAGCATGACCCCATACAGCATGACCCCACACAGCATGACCCCATACAGCATGACCCCATACAGCATGACCCCACACAGCATGACCCCATACAGCATGACCCCATACAGCATGACCCATACAGCATGACCCATACAGCATGACCCCATACAGCATGACCCATACAGCATGACCCCATACAGCATGACCCCATACAGCATGACCCCATACAGCATGACCCCATACAGCATGACCCCATACATCATGACCCCATACAGCATGACCCCATACAGCATGACCCATACAGCATGACCCCATACAGCATGACCCCATACAGCATGACCCCATACAGCATGACCCTATCCAGCACGACCCCATACAGCATGACCCCATACAGCATGACCCATACAGCATGACATGCATGACCGCATACAGCATGACACATGACCCCATACAGCATGACCCCATACATCATGACCCCATACAGCATGACCCCATAGCATGATGACCCCATACAGCATGACCCCATACAGCATAACCCCATACAGCATGACCCACACAGCATGACCCCATACAGCATGACCCCATACAGCATGACCCCACACAGCATGACCCCATACAGCATGACCCCATACAGCATGAACCCATACAGCATGACCCCATACAGCATGACCCCATACAGCATGACCCCATACAGCATGACCCCATACAGCATGACCCATACAGCATGACCCCACACAGCCCATACAGCATGACCCCATACATCATGACCCCATACAGCATGACCCCATAGAGCATGACCCCATACATCATGACCCCATACAGCATGACCCCACACAGCATGACCCCACACAGCATGACCGCACACAGCATGACCCCATACAGCATGACCCCATACAGCATGACCCCATACAGCATGACCCCATACAGCACGACCCCATACAGCATGACCCATACAGCATGACCCACGACAGCATGACCCCATACAGCATGACCCCATACAGCATGACCCCATACAGCATGAACCCATACAGCATGACCCCATACAGCATGACCCCATACAGCATGACCCCATACAGCATGACCCCATACAGCATGACCCCATACAGTATGACCCCATACATCATGACCCCATACAGCATGACCCCATACAGCATGACCCCATACAGCATGACCCACACAGCATGACCCCATACAGCATGACCCCATACAGCATGACCCCATACAGCATGACCCATACAGCATGACCCCATAAGCATGACCCCACACAGCATGACCACACAGCATGACCCCATACAGCATGACCCCATACAGCATGACCCCATACAGCACGACCCCATACAGCATGACCCATACAGCATGACCCCATACAGCATGACCCCATACAGCATGACCCCATACAGCATGACCCCATACAGCATGACCCCATACAGCATGACCCCATACATCATGACCCCACACAGCATGACCCCACACAGCATGACACCATACAGCATGACCCCATACAGCATGACCCCATACAGCATGACCCCACACAGCATGACCCCATACAGCATGACCCCATACAGCATGACCCCACACAGCATGACCCCATACAGCATGACCCCATACAGCATGACCCCATACAGCATGACCCCATACAGCATGACCCCATACAGCATGACCCCATACAGCATGACCCCATACAGCATCACCCCATACAGCACGACCCCATACAGCATGACCCCTACAGCATGACCCCATACATCATGACCCCATAAAGCATGACCCCACACAGCATGACTGCACACAGCATGACCCCATACAGCATGACCCCATACAGCATGACCCCATACAGCACGACCCCATACAGCATGACCCAATACAGCATGACCCCATACAGCATGACCCCATACAGCATGACCCCATACAGCATGACCCCATACAGCATGACCCCATACAGCATGACCCCATACATCATGACCCCACACAGCATGACCCACACAGCATGACACCATACAGCATGACCCCATACAGCATGACCCCATACAGCATGACCCCACACAGCATGACCCCATACAGCATGACCCCATACAGCATGACCCCACACAGCATGACCCCATACAGCATGACCCCATACAGCATGACCCCATACAGCATGACCCCATACAGCATGACCCCATACAGCATGACCCCATACAGCATGACCCCATACAGCATGACCCCACACAGCATGACCCCATACAGCACGACCCCATACAGCATGACCCCATACAGCATGACCCCATACAGCATGACCCCATACAGCATGACCCCATACAGCATGACCCCTACAGCATGACCCCATACAGCATGACCCCAGCATGACCCCACACAGCATGACCCCACACAGCATGACCCCATACAGCATGACCCCATACAGCATGACCCCACACAGCATGACCCCACACAGCATGACCCCACACAGCCTGACCCCATACAGCATGACCCCACACAGCATGACCCCACACAGCATGACCCCATACAGCATGACCCCATACAGCATGACCCCATACAGCATGACCCCATACAGCATGACCCCATACAGCATGACCCCATACAGCATGACCCCATACAGCATGACCCCACACAGCATGGCCCAACACAGCATGACCCCATACAGCATGACCCCATACAGCATGACCCCATACAGCATGACCCCATACAGCATGACCCCATACAGCATAACCCCATACAGCATGACCCCATACATCATGACCCCATACAGCATGACCCCATACAGCATGACCCCATACAGCATGACCCCATACAGCATGACCCCATACAGCATGACCCCATACAGCATGACCCCATACAGCATGACCCCATACAGCATGACCCCATACAGCATGACCCCACACAGCATGACCCCACACAGCATGACCCCATACAGCATGACCCCATACAGCATGACCCCATACAGCATCTACCCATCTATCATGCATACACCAACAAACAAGCAGCTCACCTTAATCACATCAACATGCCGTGCGAGAACATCCCCCTTCTCCTTTCCCCCGTCCCACATCTCTCCGCCCCCCCCTGCCTCCATGTCACCCTCCCTAACGCTGTCTCCTCCCATGCTCCTGGCGATGCTGGCATATGCCTGCTGTGACTGCTGCAGCCAGGAGGGGGGGCGATAAAGAATGGTGATGGAGGGGAAGAGAGCGGAAAGAGCCTCTTCCCAGCTGCCAGGGAGCAGAGGGAGAGGGGATTCCGCTGTTTCAATGTTGCTTCGGCCACCTTTCCCCGTGCTACCTTTCCTCCAGCTCTCACTTCCCTCTCCTGCCTCCTTTGTGCCAGCCGCACCGAGCAGTTGCGTCAAGGCCGACTCTTGAGTCGACTTAAGAGTCACCTCTGTGTCAGCCTCATGGAGCAGTCTCCGCAGCACCCGTTTGCCCCTCCCGCTGCTTCTGCTGCTTGCTCTCCTCAAGCTGCTGTTGAACTTGCTGCGCCCACCATCGCCACCACCAGCACCACCAGCACCAGCACCAGCACTTCTCCTCCTCTTCATCCTCCTGCTATTCCTGATACTCCTGCTCCTGCTGCTACTCGTCCACCACTTGCCGCTACTGCTCTCGCTGCTGCTGCTGTTACTCCTGTGATTGTGGTGGTTTTTGCCGCCGCGCTTCCTAATGCTCGTGCTGCTCACCCCGTCACTGCCGTTCCTTGCACCAGTCCTCTCCATTCTGCTCATGCTGCTGCTGCTGCTGCTGCTGCTGCTGCTGCTGCTGTCGCCGCTGCTTGCGCTGATGCCATAGTCGTTTGTGGTGGTCGTGGTGCTGTCATCGACTGCAGTGGGCGTGCCGGTTGCTTCCCATTCGAAACGATCGGACATGGATAAAACAACGCTGGATGCAAGGGAAGGGAGAGCAGAGGAAGACGCCAACGAGGGCGCAGAAGAGGCACAGCAGGGGTGAAGAGGCTTAAAGATTGACAATGAGAGGACCGATAATCAAGGAGAGTGCAAGGCAGGAGAGGAGAGAGGAGAAGACAGAGAGGAGAAGAGAGGAGAGGAGACGCAAGGAGAGGAGAAGAGAGGAGAGGAGAAGAGAGGAGAGGAGAAGCGAGAAGAGGAGAAGAGAGGAGAGGAGAAGAGAGGAGAGGAGAAAAGAGGAGAGGAGAAGGGAGGAGAGGAGAGACGAGAGGAGAAGAGAGGAGAGGAGAAGAGAGGAGAGGAGAAGTGAGGAGAGGAGAAGAGAGGAGAGGAGAAGCGAGGAGAGGAGAAGAGAGGAGTGGAGAAGAGAGGAGAGGAGAAGACAGGAGAGGAGAAGAGAGGAGAGGAGAAGAGAGGAGAGGAGAAGAGAGGAGAGGAGAAGCGATGAGAGGAGACGAAGCGTGCAAGGGCATGATCTCGCATTCATGGCATGATGTTACGGCAGGTGGGATGGCAGAGAACAGACTGAGATACATTAAATCATGTGCAAGACAATCGACAATCGACATCGTGAAAAACGCTCTACAGTATGCAAAAAACTGTTCAGTGGGAAAGCTCAGACAACCTGGAAAAACACCTGAGTTGAAAACATGGAGGCAGAGAGCAGGTTTGTGAACGTGCTGCATTGCTGTGGCGCATGTGCTAGAAGCAAATCTACCTGAAAACACCTGGTTGCACACCTGAAACCACCTGAACCGAGCCCCCCACCTGAAACCACCCGAGGCACCCAGCTGAAACCACCTGGCAGCACACCTGAAACCACCTGGCAGCACACCTGAAACCGCCACCCCACACACCTGGAGGCAGAGAGCAGGCGTGTAAAGGTACTGAACTGCCGTGGTGCGCTTCCCAGAAGCTTCGCCTCCCCCAGCTGCCCCCGCACACAGATGCCCAAGGGGGAGGGGGCGGTCCACACAGCAGAGAGGGCACGGAGCTGGGGGGAGCGGGGAAGAAGGGGAAGAGGAGGGACTCGGGAGAGGGGGAGGGGGAGGAAGAGGGGGGCAACTTCAATGAGCTGCCCTCCACCAGCTGCTGGGCCATCAGTCTCATACAGAGGGCCAGGGGGAGAGCGGGGACCACCCAGACATGAGGGCGCGGAGCTGGGAGGGAGAGAGGGAGGACGGGGAGGAAGAGGGGGCGGGGGGGGGAAGTGGGAAGGGCGGGGAGGCGGCCAAGCCTTTTTACCTTTTGTCTACCAGCTGGCCCCTGACACACAGGACTAAGGGGGAGGGGGCGGACCACACAGCGGAAAGGGCGCGGAGCTGGGGAGGGGTGGAGGAGGGAAAAGGGCAGGGCAGGGGAAGGGCAGGGGAAGGGGGCCACTGTCAATGTCCTGCCTCCACGAGGTGGCCGCTCACACAGAGAGCCCATGAAGGGGCGGACCATACAGTGGGA